TTTAAAAATTAATTTATTAGAGATCCCAAACACAAATTACAGTTCTGCTGGTATACCTGCACGTGTTTCTGAATCTGATTTGCTAAACAAGATCCCTTCTCAACAGGAAATATAAGGTCTTTTCTTACTGCAACTTTCTTCTTGTATTCTGAACCTTGTAATCGAGAAAAAAATCTGATTAAATGGGTCACATACAAAGACTTAGTAAGTCAAAGATGTAGATTTCCTGGACCAGATGAACATGGTGTACCAGAGTACACCAGGTACTCAGATGCCAACTCAGGATAAAGGAGCATGACAACAAATATGGTTTGGATTAGGTCACACGTGCTGACTTTGAGATAACTTTGGCCTTCATCCCCATACACCTCAGAGAGATGGGAAAACCCAGGACCTTTCGGGAAGAACACTGCTCCTTGGAAGGACCATTCTCCTGATCAAGAGAGTACCACTACCCCAATGGGTCCAGGGGAGATGGCCAGGAAATAAACCCCACATGGTGATGCTACTAACAGAAGGACGTTGACTTGTGAGTTGCAAACCTGCAGAGGACAGCAAATAGTCACTTAGATTAAAACTTTACCCAACACAGACGCTTTCATCTTCAGAAAGGCAGTGGCTTTTTGTGCAAAGAGAATCACAGACTAGAATGGTTTGGGTTGGAAAGGACCTTAAAGATCATTTAGATCCAACCCCCTGCATGGGCAGGGACACCTCCCACCAGCCCAGGTTGCTCCAAGCCCCATCCAACCTGCCCTTCAACACTGCCAGGGATGGGGCAGCCACAGCTTCCCTGGGCAACCTCAGAGGTCTCCCCACCCTCAGATCTTGTAAATTTATCTTGTAAATAAGCTCCAAACGGGCAGTTTCCCAGGGGCCCCTCCCGGCCCTGCCAGGGCCGTGACATTTGTCACCACCAGCCCGAAGAGCCACAACCCCCCCGGCCCAGCCTGACCCCGGCACTTACTCCTCATGCTGAGGTCGATGGGGTTGAGGCTGGCGGCGTGCACCTTGATGATCACCTCGTTGGGGAAGTGTATGACGGGGAACACCATGTCCCTGGTGAAGCGCAACACCTCGTTGGGGCCGTACCGGTCAATCACC